TGCGCCAGCTGCCCGCTTCTCTGGGGCCCTCGCACTCAGGGAGAGGGCAGGTCGGGCAGCGGGAGAGCGGCTGCAGGGCCACAGCTGTGCGTGACCGTGGAAGGGAGGCCGTGTCTGCACGGAGGGTGGTCGCATCGGCCCGTCCTGCAGAGCTGGTGTTGTGGGGTTGGTTCCCAGTGAGACCGAGGGCTTCTGACCCCGGGGGCCCTTGTCCAGCAAGCACGCGGCATGCTCCCTGCACGGCAGCTGCCCACGCAGGCAATGGCCACATTTCCCCTCTCTTCATCCTCCCTGGTTCCCATGGGACAGGCACGGTCCTCACTCCCCTTGCAGATGGGGACAAGTGCTCAGAGGTTAGTAGCTGGCTGAGGATCCCCGGCCAATACCAGGCCAGCAGAGTCCAGAACCCAGGCAGCTCACCACCCCTGCACTGGTGGCCATTTCCAGCTTAGTGACAGCTGAGCAAAGACGGGTTGGAACGCTCTTGGCACTCGGGGGGATATTGCCGCCGGCAAGAACTGTGGGAGACGGGATTTTCAGGACCTGCTGGCACGTGCACGGTGCCAGGTAGACAGAAGCCTCCACTCGCGAAGTCTGGTGATGAGAGGACACCCGTGTGAGCGTGTTTAGCAGAGGGCCCCGCAAGCGTCTGCTGCAGTGGTGACAATGACGACACGTGTTTTTCTAATAGTTTGGAGTATATCCAGGAAATTGCTGGCTGCCGAACGGTCCCAGTGGAGGTTGGCTCCAGGTACACAGACGAGGAGTGGTCTCAGAGACTCATGACGGTCAGCGAGTTCGTCGGCCAGTACATCCTGAATGAGGTGCGTCACCGAGTCCCTTCTCCCAGCACTTACGGGGAGCGCACTACACCCGGGCGGGTGACCACGCGCCACAGCGGAGGGCTTTGGAGGCATCAGCCTGTACGGGTCGAGGTCAGCAGGCTGGTCAGAGCCAGGGTCCCAGCAACCAGGTGGGCGGACATGGCGTGAGGGGCCCCTTTCAAAACATTTTTTTGTGCATTTCCGTGGGTTTGAGTGTGTTCTAAGACTGTGCAGCCGTCACCGCATTCTCACTCCACACATTTTCATCACTTCAGAAGAAACCGTGCACTTGCCGATAGTCACCCGAACTCCCCTGTCCCCGCCAGCCCCAGGCAGACACCGCTCTGCTTCCTATTTCTGTGGATTTGCCAGTTCTGGACGTTGCACGTACATGGAGTCGCACTGCGGCCGTGCGTGTCTGGCTCTCTCACTGAGCATCGCGTGCTCGAGGTCTGTCCACGTCGTAGTGTCCGCGTCTCCCTCCTTTTCACGGCCGAGGAACACTTCCCTGTGTGGACGGGCTGCGTCGTGCTTCTGTGTCCGTCAGCCGATGGGCGCTGGAGTTGTGTGTGCTTTTTGGTGACTGTAAGCAGTGCTGCCGTGAACTTTCACGTACCAGATTTTGTGGGTACGTGTTTGCGTTTCTCTTAGATGTATGCCAGTGGTGGAGTCATGGGTCCTATGCCAGCTGTTTGTCCTTCTGAGGAACTGCCACGCTGGTGTCCAAAGCAGCCACACCATTTTATCATTTCAGAGTCTCAACAGTCAAGGTGGGGGGTGGCTTCCTCTATGGCACTGGGTGGCAGAGAGCGTAGGTCGCCTGACCAGATCATCCCTGTTGGCTGGGAACAAGGGGGCCCCGTTCGTGGGTACACAGACCCTTTAGGGGAGGGGTGTGCACCCAGCATCGTGGCGGGCAGGATCCTCCACGAGGTTGAGACTTCAGCACCATGCAAACTGCGTCCCCCACACGCCCCTCCACAGCGCACTCCGCAGGCAGCCGCGGTCCTGGCACTGCAGAGCTCGGATCCAACTGGGCGTGGACCTGCCACACAGGCCAGGCCTGTTACCATGGCTCACAGCTTCTTCCATGGGCCTTGGCACCGTGGCTGAACCCAAGGGGCCACCCAGAGTGCCCCCACTCCATCACCTTCCTACCCCCATCTCTTTCACTCCTGAATCCCCAGCCTCCTGTCTGTGCTCAGATGTCTCTCCTGCATCCCTCCCTACTCCCACCTCTGCTCAGTTCCCTGTCACCTGCAGACCTGGAAAAGGGGGCCGTGGACTAGAGATGCACCATGCTGCCATGTCACCTCTGGTTGTGGGGATCAGCCTGGCCAGGAGGCCCTGTGTGGCCTCCCTCTGCTGGGAAGAAGCCTGGTTCCCCAGGCAGAGAGGCCTTGGCAGGGGACAAGAAGTGGGCTTTGGGTTCAGCCCTGGCCTTTGCTGGCTGTGCAGCCTGGGCTGGTGACTGAACATCTCAGGTCCTCGGGGCCCTGACGTTTGGTCAGTCTGGGTTGGTGGGTGTGTCAGTCAGGTCACGAAAGCCGACTGCACAGGGCCGTGGAGACAGTAAAACACGTGAAGCTGTAACGCAGCGAGCTCTGCCCTCAGTCTCCGTCAGTGGTTGGTGTCCTCTGCGCTGGCACATCTGGGAGGGCAGTGGCAACGGGAGCGCGTGGTGCGAAGAGCCAGCTCAGCAGTGGCAGCACGCGGAGGGCGTCGCCACCACTAACGGGCTTTCTGTGTCGCCTCTGCTCTCCCGTGGGTCAGCCGAGGGACGTTGGGTACCTGGCGCAGCACCAGCTCTTCGACCAGGTGAGTCCGACAGTGCTCTCCTCTGCCCCTCACCCTGTCACCTCCCCGCCCCCCTCCTGCACTTGACCCCAACGGGCAGCAGAGGCTACAGCAGCTCGTTCGCCGCCCACTGATGCTGCTCCCAGTGCTTCGCCCAGTCCCTCCTCTGCAGCCAGCAGCAGGCGAGGCCACCAGGCCTGAGAGGCTGGGCCGGCGCAAACCCGCTGCTGTCCTTTCTCCCAGGGACCCATGTTCTAGAAGACTTTGGCAACCGCACTAGGCCTGCCTTTTGTTATCAGTCACATCCTGGGAGCGTTTCTTCTCTTGGGGTCTCTGAGGGCTGGGCCAGAGGCTCTGGTCATACCCTCTGGTCAACCAGTTACCTTTCAAGAATCCCAACGATGTCATCAGGAGCCAGCCAGCTTCTCGGCACTCCAGGGGCAGGTCTGCTGTGATCCCAGCGGAGACTGGTGAGAGCTTGGTGGCAGGAAGTAGGAGATTCCCAGAGGCCTTTGGGGTCTGGCAGGCAGCTTGAAGACCCCACAGGACAGGGCTGCAGGTCTGTGTCCATGGGCCCAGGCCCCTGCAGAACATTCCAGCTGTTCTTCAGTCATTGCTCCCTCCAGCAGCCTGAACAGCTAGTACAGACTGGGGGTGGTGGCTGGCAGTGCCTGAGCAAGGCAGCGGAGGACCCCCTGTAACTGTGTGTACCTCAAGCTCAAGACTGCCCTGCGTTCAGAGTATCCCTAGGGGCTGGTGAGGAATCCAGCTGCCCTGAGGGTGGGGGCTCCTGACCAGCTTGGGGGTGGGGGGGTCAGCCCCGAGATGACAGGTCAGTCAGGGAAGCGGGTTCGGTCCAGGCGGCCAGCACAGCCCCACCAGCCCCTAAGCATCCACGACTGTGGCCAAGTGGGCTGGCAGATGACCCTCACCTTTGGGAAATTAAATAGTAACTTCAGTCCCTAAAAGGATCACGTGCTGAAGCCATAAAGGAAAACCCACTTGTGAACACCAGCTGGGCTGGGCTTGAAGTGAAATGTCCAAGAGGTGGTGTCCCCTCATCGCACGTGCACACCCCCGAGCACACACCGGGCATCGCTGGCTGTGGAGTCAAACACCTTGTGCCCACTTGGGCTTCCAGAGGAGGAAGCCAGGATCCAGGCCCTGAGGATAGGTGTCCCCAGAGGCGAAGGTGTCAGACACCTTGGTCCACAAGAGGGTATGGGGCTGGGGAGGAGGCAGGGTCCCAGTGCTTGCCGTCCTAGCGAACCTCCTGTCATACACGCTGGCACCGTTGTGGCTGAGGCGGGCCTCCACCGTACCATGAGCCACCGCATGACAGCCTCCAAGGTCCCCGCCTCCATACAGAGGCACGCAGGAGCCCACTCAGCTGCGTCAGGAAAGACGACCGAGCGGTGGCGCCTGGCAGCCCCCCGGGAACACACCCTGTACCACACCCTCACCGCTGGGCGCTGTCACTCTTAGTCTCTGCTGATTTGATTAGTGGGAAATGACATGTCGTTTGGATTTCTCTGCCAATGGGACGGAAGCCCTTGTATCTGATTCACTTTTATGTCTTATCTTTTGCCCTTTGACTGTAATTTGTGTGTTGGGTCCTTATTATTTGGTATGAACTCTATACATTAACCCTTATTTGCCATAGTTCAAGTTAGGTTTCCTAGTCTGCTGGTCTTTATATTAATTAATTTACTTAAAATGTGTCAAATAGCATTGCTTTACCATTAGTAAGTTTGGAAAATCTTCCCCTACAGAGATTTGATAGTCAACCCCATTTTATTTTTTGTTTTTGTTCTTTTTTTATAGCTTTTTATTAATTTTTGAAGTTGGGAAATCTGAGTCCCTCAGCTTTATTTTTTCTTCATCAGGACTGTTTGGATATCATAGTTGTTTTTCTTTAATTTGACTTTTTAAAATAATTAACTTTAGAAAATTACAACCTGGTTGAAGTACAAACATTAGTATCAGGTGTTTTAAAAAAGAAAAATATAAAACGCATAAGACATGGAAACGAATCCAAAAATAAAATTATAACTTTTCTGTAGTAATTATGTTTTTTAAACTGATTTTTAAATTCCTATACAGCAAAATGTGGGTAGTGTATTGTTACACACGAAAATGTGCATTCGGCCCTCTGTCGGATGGGTGACTTCTGGGCTGCTGTGTCCCAACCTCCTGCTGCTGTGGGAGGCCTGGGCTCAACCTCCCGCATCTACTCTGATACCCACAGATCCCAGAGCTGAAGCAGGACATCGGCATCCCCGATTACTGTTGCCTGGGCGACGGGGAGGAGGAGGACATCACCATTAATGCCTGGTTTGGGCCCCCGGGCACCGTCTCCCCTCTGCACCAGGACCCCCAGCAGAACTTCCTAGCCCAGGTTGGAGCTGCTCCTGATTTTTCCTCAGCAGAGGGTTTAACAACAGAGAACCTGCTCTAGCCAAGCAGACCCATCACCTGTCAGCCTTGAGGACCTGAGTAACTCACTTGAGCTCACTGTGCCCCAGCATCCTCACCTGTAGAAGCGGAGGATGGTAGACCACCTTGAAGGGTGGCTGTGAGGGTCAGAGGTCGCCACAGTCCAGTGCTTAGTTACTGTCAGCTACAGGAGGAACCTCAAGCACATGTGGTGGTGCGGGGCGGGGGGCGGGGCACTGGGCTAGGGAGCAGCGTGTGGGGCACCATGGAAAGGCAAGGCAGGAAGTGCGCTCAGGGACCTGCAGTTGGCGTGCAGTGAGGCCACCAGCCAACTGACCAACTGATGGGGTCGCTGTCCCCCAGGTGATCGGAAGGAAGTACATCCGGCTGTATTCCCCGCAGGAGTCGGAGGCTCTATATCCTCATGACACGCACCTTCTCCACAACACGAGCCAGGTGGGCATCGCAGCTTCTCGCCGACCCGCCCCGTCTCTGGAGGCTGGGCAGCTGACTCTTGTGCTCTCTTCAGGTGGACGTGGAGCATCCTGACTTGGAGAAGTTCCCCAAGTTTGCTGAGGCCCCATTCCTGTCCTGCATCCTGTCTCCTGGAGAGGTCCTGTTCATCCCAGTTAAGTACTGGCATTACGTGCGAGCCTTGGACTTGAGCTTCTCAGTCAGCTTCTGGTGGTCCTAGCCAGGCTTGGTGGGAGGACCCACCTGGGGTCCCAATGTAGGGCCCTGAGATCTAGAGCCAAGATAGCCAAGCCTGAGCCCCGAAGAGGCCTCCAGGGGGCTGGGCCAGGTGTGCATGGCAGAAGCACGTGGCATGCAGTCTGGCACCCGCCTGCACCTGGGCATTGTGAGGCCTGGGATGTTTGGGAACCGGGCAGGTGATGCGTGCAGTGGCCAATCCTGGGCTCTGGGGTCAGCTGCCTGGGTTAAACCCTGCCGTGTGATTTGGGGCCAGCACAGCACCATCTTCTCACCTCGGAGGGTTCAAGGCTACCTCTCCACAGTAGTAGCTACTGCCGCTGATCTTGTTATGAGCGTCACACACTTCTTTGTCATGACTGGGTCTGTGCAGACGGCCACACTTGCAGACTGGAGACAGGTGGGCATGGCCCTGGTGACAGGGCAGGTCCTTACCAGCTTGCAATACAGCTCAGGCCTCTGCTGGGGACGTTTCTGTGGTCACTGCCAAGGAGTGCATGCATCTTCTAAGCTTGACGAATTCTCACGTGCATCTTCACCAGCGGCTGGTCCCAAAGCAGGAAACAACCATTGCCAGCACCCAGAAACTGCCTCCCGCCCCACAGCCTCCATCCTCCCAGGGTCACTGATGTCTGGGGAGAGGCCCAGGCTTCAGGCTTCCCATAAACATGTTTGTTTTGCGTTTTGACCACTAAGACTTTCCCCAGCCCTCGGACTGAAGACGGGCATATCCCATCAGCTGGCATCACAAAAGTCTCAGCCTTGCAATGAGATGGGTCACATTTCTGCAATATTGTCTAGATCTGACAACATTCATCACACCAGTGACCAAGGGGTAAAGACTAACCTGTTCCAAACCAATCATAAAGGGAATTTTAAAAACTGGTCAACCTTAAAAAAAAGTACAATTTTACTAATACTCAAAAATGTGCAGATTATAACAAAGGCTACTGGCTGAATTAAAACCATTTTAAAACTTATATCGGTGCTGAGGGGACAGTGTCCTGCTGGCAGCAGAGCAGCACCTGAAACGCTCATGCACACCGTGGGTCTGGTTGGGTCTGGTGGTCTCACACCCCAGGGAACAGCAGGAGGCTGGTCAGGGGCCTCTGCACGAGGCAGCCATGGGATCATCTGCAGCAGCAAGTCTAAAGGAAATTTTTCTTTCCTGTTTCGCTGCACAGATTCTTGGAATGTGGCTGGCACTTTTGGTCACCAAATGGGGGAGGGGGTGGGGTCCACACCAAGAAATTCTGCGACAGCAGGTAGGTGTCCTGCAGTCGACCTCAGTTCCGACACTACCTACCTGGAGTGTCGGGTCCCACCAAACTGCTGGGGCAGGCAGCACTCCAGGCTAGCCCCAGTCCCCAGGGAGCAGGCAGGCTGGAGCAGGGGGAGAGTCCAACCCATTGGCAGTCACGGTTCTGGCGCCTGGTGGGAGCCATGGAGATGGTCACAGGGAGCAGGGATGGGACCAGGGAAGTCAAGGCTGGAGGTGGGTCTGGACGGACACAGGAATTGCCAAGGAGATGGGGGCAAGGCCTGCAGGCAGACGGACAGCTCCATGCATTTGGGGCTGCAGGATACCAAGGGGTGGCCCAGGAAGAAAATAAGTGT